GCCCAGTTACAACGCGTCAACCGTCCCTCTGATCATTGCCTTTTAAAGAGATTTACTTGTGAAGTGACAGGTAGTGATGTGACCACGCGTTGCTCAGATATCCAAACGAAACTTCCAGAACAGCGGGGTCGCGGCATAACTCTTCAAAATCGCAACAAGTTGAGAACAATTTTCCGTCGTTTCACACAACATACACCACATCGATCGTCCTTCGAAACGTTAGCTCCGAGGGTGGTCGTCACCAGCTTGCATACTTCGAAAGCGGACTCGAGCACGTGCACTTTGGTTAAACTCATAGAGTAATGCTCCACAATTCAGTTGAGATGCAGGAATAACACCTCGCTCATGAAGCGGGGGTCTTGATCGTGCCGAATAATTGAACTTGCTCCGAAGTTCCGAAATACACGTTCCTCGTAAGCTTCGCTGTGGTTGAGTCCATTGGTTTGCGCATTACATATCCAGAAAACATATTTTGGAATAGTAGCAGAAACGTATCCACTCGGTCGGACTTCGGCATGTGCGTCACGAAGTCCATCGACACAACCTCGAAAGGTTGTCGGGGTTCGATGTTCCCAGGTGATGGTCCAGCTTTGGAGGGTTTCCTTTTCCACTCGCACAGTCAGTGCACTCCTTCGCAAAGTGTTCCACATCTGCATACATGACTGGTCAATAAAATTCCGAACATAACCTCTTATGGGTGCTGGTGATGTCTTGGTGACCTCCTTGGAAGTCCTCGTGACCATAATGTAGGACATCATCTCGAAGTGCTTCCGGAACGACGAGTCGAGGTTCATCCTGAAAGTCACGCGGGCGATCACGAGTCGAGCGAGCTAGTCGATACAACACACCCCGAGTGTCATGCACAAACAGGTCAGCAACTTTGGCGACCTTTCTCAGCCTTTTGGGCGAAAACTTCTGGAAGTCCTTGATCTCTGACATGTACTCATCCGCGTCCTGATGCACGCGAATGCGTCGCCACCGTTCGGCTTGGAATTCCAAAGGGTCCATGGGTCGACTCCTCTGATCCGTTTCGGCTTGGCTTCTGGAACGCCTTACTGCTGCAAATACGCGAGCCGATTTTGTTAATGGAGCTGATTCCGCAGCAGGTTGTTCGACGTCCCTTGACAGTGTTTCCCCAGAAGTTGGATCAACTGCATATTTTAACTCGGAATCTTCCACCTTCATGAGTTTCTCTGCGATCTTTGACACGTGCTCCAAATGTGCAATCTCCGCCGTGTCCGTAACGTCCCATGACTCATCCAGAATCAAAGTCTTCGTGGTCAAATAATCTGTGGCTTGTTTGTACTCCCGCTTGAGATTCACTAGACGTAACGATCCAAACTTCTCTTTCAGTAGTTCAACGTTGGCAAGATGCTTTCGGAGGTGTGATTGATTGCAGTTGATTAATCCTTGAATCTGTTGAATGACGATTCGCGAATCTCCAACTGCGACCAAATCTTGCAGCCTCATTTCAATGGCCATCTCGTGCCCTTTGAGAAGCCCATGGTACTCGGCATCGTTTACGGTGACATTCTCCAAACGGAAACCTTTCACTTTCAGAACCTTCCAACCAGGTAGCCGCCATAACACACAACCACAACTTCCTTTTTTGGTGGAGAGTTTTGTGGCACTGTCGAAACTCAGAACGACTCCCTGAAAATCACTTCCTAACATCTCGACGCTCACTACTGGGGGTCGTCAAAGATGTCCCTTCAGAGGGATCAATGTCTCGACGGCATCATCCAAATGTTCTCGTGGTGTGATCCCAGCACCCATGATGGCTGCAAGTTCATCTTCGTCCTTTTGGACTTTCTGGATTTCGATATCCCAATATGAAAGCGTGACTCCCCAAGGAACGCACCTGCCATCTGCCGACGTAGACTGTAACACCCATTTCAGAACAGATTATCTTGTATAGATGATCAGTTGTCGGCCTTCTAGAATTAAATGACTTGCTACGCCTTCAGGATAGCAATTACTTCCTTCTCGGCAATGTAGTACCGGACCTCGGAGTCGTTCAGAACGCGTCCTGCATACTGAACAGGTTGTAATACTCCGTCGTATTCTTGCCCTATGACTGCACAAGCAGCCCATCGCTTCGCGTGCTGAATAACCATAAATGGCTTTTGGATGTCAGGATGTCTTAACATCGGCGTCGCGGCGATCTTTCGTTTAAGTAGTTCGAAAGATTCATGAGCTCGTGAGAGATCTCGTCCCTGACGTATCTGGTCTTCCGAGAGAGTTCATAAAGAACTGACGCCACTACCGGAAAGTCCTCGATGAACTTGTGGTAGTAGTTTAGGCTTCCGAGAAACGATAGTACACCTTTGTGGGATTTAGAAAAAGGTAGATCCACAACACTCTGCGCAACTTTTGGGGTCGCTCGGATACCTTCTGCACTAATTTCGTGTGACAGATAGGGGATCGACCGCTTTCCAAACTCGCTCTTCGGCAAACTCACTGATATATTCCAGTAACGTAAGCGATAATGCAGGGTGTCGAGATCCTGACAAAGTTGATCCCATGTTTTCGCGCCACGGTCAATATCGTCAATGTAAAAACTGCGTCCCAACACTGGTCCAATGTGTGAAGGCATGGAAATATTCCTTTGGAAAACGGTCATGGATTCTGTGAGTCACTTTACCTCGTCTTTTGGGCCGCCACTTTCAGATTCTTGGTTATTTGTAGAGTCCAAACCTAGAAAGTCCAAAATATCTTGATCGACTTCCGCTTCTTCTTCCGGAGGCAATCTCAAATCCCCACAAACAATTGTTGATAACCGACTGGTATATCAGCGGCGCATTCTTGAGTCCGAATGGCATGCGAGCCTATTGGAAGTGTCCAAATGGACAGACAAACGCCGATATCAACTTTGCCCTTTCAGCCATCTTAACCGCCCAAAAGCCACTCGCCATATCCAAACTCATAAACCACATGACATCCTCAAATCCAACCAGTTGGTCATCTATCAATGGTAGAGGATAATTCGACAACGTAATGAATCCATTGACAATTCGGTAGTCGACACACATTCGTATATCCACACCATTTTTCTTGTCGGGTAATGGGTGAGATGCCCATGATGATTCTGAATGCTCGATGAGTCGGGTTTTCAAAAGTTTCTTCTGTAATTCATACACTTTGATCGATAAGTGTGGTGCAACAGATCGGGGACGTTGTGCGACGGGGTTCGTCTTTCCAACATCCAAATCACAGGTCACACCTCGCGCCGGGGTTGGGACCGCATTCACATCTTCCAAAAAGATGGCTCGATGGTACTTCAGGATCACCCGCAATTTTCACTCGTCTTCCGGAGTACTCGTCCCAGGTTCACCAACATCGGTCAATCAATATCGCATTTCAGAGATAGTTCTTCGATATCCGGAAGCAACGCGAGTATATCCCGGAGTTGTGATAGCGTTTCACTCCCTTCATGAATATAAACTGCGGGCTCGAGGTTCATTTCTTCAGCACTTATTCGCATGACACGCTTGTACTCTAGCTCGAGCTGCTGAACTGGCGTACAGGCCATCACCGACACCGGCAGGTCCGAAAAACACATCATCCTCGGGTTCCATTTTTGGAATGTCCTCCAAGTTAACTTCTGGAAAACCATCCTCGACACTAATCGAGTCGAAACTCATCTTCGTCCGAATCCTGGTCATCCAGCGCTTCTTCAGGCTCACCTATTGGGACGTCCGTTGTTTCGTCTTCAGCTTCCGAAATCTCTATCTTCAGGCATTGTTGTAGTCCTCATCGACGTCCTCATTAACAACCCCTTACCTAGCTCAGATGTTCCATGATACAATCCACTCGGGACTATCTGAAGGTTGACCACTCTCGCTTCCTCGCAACCGGGCGATGGTCGAACCATTATCTTAGTCGGCCACGAGTAGTTCGGCGTTTGGACGACTGGTGGTTCCATCTTCTGAAGATCATCCAGACGTTGTGACTCTCGAGCCTGAGCTTTGGCGGATATAGTATTCTCATAAAAAGGAGTCTGCCATTCCCGATATCTCCGAGTGCTAACGCGCCCATTGTGTCCCGCTCTCGAAAATAACCCATTCTCGACAACTTGAGCAACTTCGGTCCGCCAGTCGATACTGACAATGCAGTTGGAAATGTTGACTACCATAATAGCAGCAGGAACCTTCCAAGCATACAACACCTGAGTGACCCAACGATCTCCTCGTCCAGCCCAGACAGTCGACGGCCGCACTAGCTTTCGGAAAGCGGGCAGCCGGATTGTCCGATATTCTCCGACATAGTATATTTTGGACGGACTCCGTGCGCCATACCATGCTTGATGTGGGACAGTCCTCTTCCTGAAAGCTAAACTGTCTCTTCATCTGGAAGTTGAACAAGTCCTTCCTTGACGCACAGCTGTACTCCAACCGAGAACATGAAATTCATTCCAAGCAATACATCCAAACCTCCACCAAAGTTTGCGACTCAAACATCAACAACGTACACTACTCTTGATCCCAAAGTGATGTTCACTTCGGCACTTGCAGTAATGTTGGTCGGTACTTCTCCAAATCCGGACACTGAAATCTGTTTGCCAAACTTGAGCTTGAGTTTTAGCCTACGCGCAAGGCCTAAACTCACCATGCTCACTGACGCTCCAGAATCCAAGAGTATATCCGTCCGAAAGTTATTTACCGCTCCATGCACCAATGCAATTTTCCGGTTCTCTTCTTGCTCATGATCATGCCACTATCCATAGCGTTCACCTCGTTTTAGGCGAAGTTCTGGACGCATGGTGATATCCGAGTCATCTGAACGTTTGCTCTAAGATTCATCCGGAAGCGAACTTTCCACAAGAAGGTCTTCGTAAAATATATTCATGGATTGTTGATTGTCTTGGTCTTGCCTTCTCAACTCTGGTCCAACATAAGCTAACACACATAATTCTAGGTCCGCTCAGTCATTCAGGAGAACGCGAACGTTTGGGGTAGTAGTCGGTGAACGAGAGGTGCTCAGCCCAGTACGCTGGTGAGCGAGGTCGGGAAGAAGCAACACCACGTCGTCAAAGGCGTCCGCGGCTTCCACAACAGTGCTACTAAGTATCACATCCGCGTGCGGTCAAGGACGTCACCACCGACGGATGATGGGTTCATGGAGAGAACGACTCGCATCTTGAGCCAGAACTCTCGAGCGGTGGACCCGTCCGGCTTCAACCGCAGTAGCGACTTGATCTGGCCTATCACTTCGGCGGCGGGCGGTGACGACGTTCTCGGAGGCGTGGCCATGGATACCTTGGCTTCGGCACGTGAACGCAGATAGTAGAATGAAAGATGCAGTCGAAGTGCTTTTGAGACAGTGAGAAGCGACCTGAGTGATGTGTGTGTATGCGTTCGTGGGAACGGTGATTTGGGCATGCGCATATCCCCGTCCCGGTTATCAAAAGACTAAAAGTGTATTTCACAGAAGACCGTAGTTGAAGTGATGGACGACACTTCAGCAGATACAATTTGCTGCCAGTCGCTGAGAAAAGAGACGAATCCATCACTCTGGAATTGAAGCGTGCCGCGCTGCGAGTGACCGGCTTTTGGTGTGTGTGTTAAAAGATGGCGAGTGATCATGTGGGTTGAGAATCACCTCGGTGGTGCTGGTCATCAAGTGAAGGTGGAAAGCGTCATAGTCGGAGTTGTTCATTTGCCAAGGACTGAACGCACTGCAGGAGAATGGATATTTTCTGGGGTTTTGACTGGGACCAGTACGTGGACCCAAGTTCAATACCAATGCACTGTGTCACAACCCTGTGTGTTGTGGTGGGTTGGACAGTCAAGACCCCGTACATCTCAGTCGTATCGGCGTTCATGTGCGAAGTGTATAGAGTGATTTGCCTGAATGTGGGCATGGTTGCGGACTTTATCTCGAAGTACTAACGATTGGTGCAGGACTCCAGTATCCAGCAGTTGCGAGGACTGGAGTACGCTTACGCACTGTGGAGAGCTGCGTTATCAGTTCCCTGCATTGTCCTAGATGCTGAAAGGGACAAGTACGGCAAGTACGGTGATATGCAGTCGGCCTGGTGGAATGTGTGGAGAACCGCCTTGTACGAATACCTACCTGATCTTGGGACCAACACCTGCCATTCGGTGGGCAACTACGGTCGGGCTTCGTGGGAAGCTACTGGCGCTGTCTACAAGCGCGTTGAAGCGTTCGTGTGCGGGTTATGCTGGTTTTTGGTGCTCTTGCTGTCTCTCATCTTAGATGTTCCGATGGCTTTATACGACGTGTTGGAGTACTTGTGCTGCGGAAGTGTGGGCGTGTTTGTGATCATTAGTGTGGTCAATCTACTGAATTTTGTGTTTCAATGGCTTACTTGGTGTTCGTACGCGAGCTATGGAATAGCCATAGTCGGTGTATTGACGCACGTGTGGCGTCGCGGAGAAGCGGATGGACAACTTGATCGTGTTGCTCCAAGAGCTGTGTTGAGTAATGCTTTTGAGAGCGTTCGTAGAGACGCCGAGTTCCGGTAATTCAAGGAACAGAATAGTCTGCGACGCCAACAGACCAAAGAAATTAACCTCAAAATTAGTGTGGACACGGAGGAGATGGAGAAATCTAAAGCAAGGCATCGGAGACGTGCTTCAACTGCAGTAGTTGCTGAACCTAGAGAAGTTGAGCGTCTAGTGGCTCAACCTAACCAGGCGGTGATTGAAGACATTGCAGAACAGGACGTCACGCAGGACCCCTCAGCTTGGCAAGGACGCCCAAGCCTAAGTCAGGGAAATGTCCCGAACCGTGGCAGGGCGTCGGGATGCCAGGGGGTCAAGTCTTTTGTTCTGGTCCTGCGGGTGTGAACCCAAGTGGCAAGATGGTTACAGCGAA